CATGCAAAAAGTTTTCAAATGAAAACAACTCAATCAAATGAAATTATAAATCAATGTGTAAATCAAAAAACGATGTTTGATCAATCAAGAGAATTTTCTTTGTGAGGTTTGATCAAACCATATATGGAATACATTATAAACCACGAATAGATGGTCCATAAGCACAAACACATACATATCATCATATAAGTGAAGTATAATGAATTCAAAGCAACCGATCAAAACAAAATCTCTAACAAAAGAATTTTAAAAGAGGCAACAATATATCAAGCTCTTGAGCTTGTTTCAACCCATATAATCATTCTAGCATCCGGTAAACATGATTTGAGAATAAACACCCAATAAAGCCGGAGGGTTATATAAGTGCAAACCTCTCACCAAAGCAAAACCAATAATCATGAAAACAAAAGAATTTAACCAATAAAAGGAATTGTTTTCATAAAAGTTTAAAATACATTTTTCAAAACCAAGAAAGAGAAAAGAATGAAAACACAAAAATTCTTGGTTTAAAAATTATTTTGGCACCCAAGCATTCTTGGTGCCGGATTGTTTAGGGACATGACCCCTATCAATAAAGCTCAAAACCTTAGGGTTATGAACCCTCTTAGGCGCATGTGGTGCACGAACACGGTCATAACAAAAATCACTCAAATGACCCTTCCGATTGTAATAAGTACAATGGAAAGAAAGCATTTGCTTATGTTGACCAAACGGTTGTGCATGGGAAACTTTAGAAACATTTGCAAACATGGATGGTCTTTTAAAATTATTTTTCAAATGTGAAACTCTCTTTAAATTAAAACAAAATTTGGCCAAATGACCAAATCGACCACAAAAATCACATTGATACACATGAGCATGCTTATGATGAGAAATAGGTGCATGTGTGTGTACATGTGATGAAGAAACTTGATGAGATGCACAAGAAGGATTAATATTCTTATGTTTTTGTGCATCATAACAAAATCTAGCAAGATGGCCTTTACGACCGCAATTTGTGCATTTGTAGACTTTGCTATACATGTGTGCATGATGTATAGGATGTTTAGATGTTTTAGCATGAGACTTAGCACACATGTCCATAAGTTTCTTATGGTTATCAATGCATGTTTTTAAAGTTGAATCTAAGCATGATATTTTTCATTTTCCAAATTTAATAAGTCATTGTTTTCTTTAAGCATAGTATTTTCATTTTCAATGACATCAAATTTGGACACTAGCTTCTCATGATCGGATTTTAAAACATCATGCTTGCTTTTTAAATCATTAAAATCATTTTACAATTTGTTAAAGGTATGCAATAATTTTTCACTAGCACAAGCAAGTTCAATACTAGATAAATCATTATCGGGTTCGCAAGCCTCACTAGGGCTATCGCCTAGTGGCCGTGTGCATGATGCTCCACATGAACTTGAAGCGGGATCCTCCAAAGCTTGTCGGATCGCCTCCAAGTCCCCTTGATGTGCTTCAATTAATTTCCATAAGGTGTAAGCACTATCAACATGAACAAACTTGTTAGACATGGATGAGTTAAAAGCATTTAGCAAATATTCTAACAAAATGTTGTTCATAGTAAACATACGATGATCATTTTTATTCCACTTGGATTTCTCCAAAATGGGCACAATATAAGCATCATCTATAATTTCCCATAAATCAAAATGTTTAGATCTAACAAATAGTTTAAATCTAACACACCATTGGGCATAAGGGAAATTATCTAACCTAGGAGCAATATTAATGGCATAACCTAAACCATGCATATCCATAATATAAAAGGCAAGCAAGATACAAATAAAAGCTCAAAATTAGATTAGCACAATAAGCTAACTTGGATCTTTAACTCAAGGCGATTAGACCTTAAATCAAAGAGCACCAAGCTCTGATACCAATTGTTAGACCCTAGAGGGGGGTGATTAGGGTCTTATGCTAATCTAATCCGATTAAATGCCAATTAAAATTAATTAACAAGTTATCCTAGCAATATGAAATACAACAAGATATGTGAGCTAGGATAAGCAATGTGAACAACAAGATATATCCTAACAAGAGATATAGGCAATGTATATGCAAGGATATAAAACTAACACAATGTGATATATCCCTAACAAGAGATATACAATATGATATATGCAAGGATATGTAACTAAGGGTGATAAAAACATAAACAAGATAGTGGATCATATAAATAATGAGCTATGGACAATGGCGATATAAGATATGAACATAAATATAAATGAACGCCATAGCACACTCAAACAAGCAATATGATCACGGAGTTCGGACCTTCCGTCTTACGTCTCCGTTCCCCACTCCCGGGGAGAAATCCACTAACACAATCCGGTTTGGAAGCCAGAACTTCTTCTACACACTCGGTTTTCTAGCTAACCGAAAACTCTACAACTCACACTCTTGTAATCACACTCTACACCCACTAAGTGTTGGACCTAGCCGTGTTTCCCTCAAGTGCTCGGTTACAACCTCTCCCTAGGCACGTCAACCGACGCCACTCCTCTTGGGACGATCCCCGACTCTCACCACACACTCCTCACTCGGTGTACAAGTGTATTACAAAGTGATTCTCACAATAAGCACAATATAACAAATGATTGTTCTCTCTAACAAGATGAGAACTCAATTAAGCTCACTCTCAATGTCACAAACCCACAACCCTAAATTATACTATGAATGTAAATACAATAAGCTCAATAGGTTGTGTGTGAACAAAGAGATATAAATCAAAATCAAACTAAACTCAAATATAAAATCTAGCTTAAGAACAATGATAATCAAGCAAGTATATAAATATAAAGCTAGAGTTTGAGTTTAGAAAACTTCTCAAGATCAAGATGGAGAGATGGAGATTTGAGGCCCAAACAATAAGATAATCCCCTCCACTTGTGAAAGCTAAAACTACTTTAAACCAAACCCTTAAAAAAGCTTAAACTTCTTTTTAAAACCCTTGTTAAAAACTTCTTAGAGAGAGCGAAAACTGAGATCAAAGAGGGTTTTTATAGCCTCCAAAACCTCAGACCAAAACCCCTTACAAAAAGACAAAAAAAAAACCACTTGCAACGGCTCTAAAAAGAGCCGTTGGGACTCCAGCGGTTGACCGATGAAAATCGCGGTCGACCGGAAACAAGGTCAGAATCGCAGGAGACGTCCAGAGAGTCCGTCGGTCGACCGGAGAAAATTGCGGTCGTCCGGCGGTACTGTAGCAGTGCGCATCTGTCTTGTAAAATATATTTAAAATAGTAAATGAACTCAAAAAATTATGTAATTTTGTGAGAATGTTCTAGACATGTAGAATAACATGTCAGAAAAAGAATTTCTGAAAAATCATTTCCCAGTTGAGGGAAATAAATGTTTGAACACAAACATACAGTTTCTGAAAATCTGCTGTGATACACGATTTTGTAAAATCAAATAGGCACAGTAAATCAACTTCAAAAATAGTAAAATTTTGAGGAAAGTTTCTAAACATGTAGATAAACATGTCAGAGAAAGAATTTTTCAAATATCACTTCCCATTTGTGAAAACTCATCAGTTTTGTAAAACTTGCACGAACATGTGCACGAACGAAAATGTGAATTTGTAAATTCCTTTAAACATAACAAATCAATTCCAAACTTGATGAAACTTTGAGAAATGTTTGCAAATGATATTTTAAACATGTTACAAAAAGAATTTTCTAATTTGCACTTTCCAATTGTGAAATCTCATTATTTTGCAAGTGTGTCCAAAACATAAAAACTCAAAAAACATGCATGTATATATATAACTATATATATACATAGAAACCAAATACGTGTGTGTATATGATATTGAGCTTAAGGTACTTAATACACATAATATAAAATCTAAACTAGATTACCCAAGTTTGATCTTGATCTTCATTGTAGCTCAACTTGGTACACATGCAGATGAAGTTTGAACTTGATCTTTAACTTGAATTGCACGATGCTTCACCGACATTCCGCCAACCTCCATTTGATATGA